AATTCTGTCCGAGGCATGCCATGTCCTGGGGGCGTTGTTGTTTGAACGACACTTGCGTTAGCATCTCGTAAACAACTGATGCAGTACCGCGAATCGTAGTTGTAGGGTACAATACCGGAAAAGGATATTTCGCGCTCTCCCATAGTCTGTTGAGAAAGCTGCACACCCTTATCATCTCCAATGGCCTGGGGTGTTCAAGAATCAGCGCCGTTCGATTACCGGTAGGTGCTATTCCGTTGATATTTCTTCTTAAGCCCTAGTCTACCCCCATAGCTTGTGTCCATTTATGTCCAGAACAGCATCTGCTCTGCGTGAGTGGGCCACTTTCAGTACTTACCAAGGTTTACTCGATAGTCTACACAATGCATACTATGGTAGTGCCTATGATATGATCCAACACTATATCTCTTGAAACAAGGTTTTAAAGGAGATATGGCAAGAGAGCATCCACATTTTGCACGGTACCACCCCCTACGCACGAAGGGGTCTTTCTTTGTCTTTTCACGTGTTGATTGGTGCCTGGACTCTGAGGGAACGGTCATGAGAGCAGGTAGGTCGGCGTTTGTAGATTCATGTAGGTCCGTTGCCATTCTGACTTCCTGGCGAGGCCTTGGGAGTTGAGCATTGAGTGCACTACCGTCTCATGTAGATAACACACTACTTGGGGCTGAAATGGTCTAGTAGGCCTCGTCAACAGCCTTCTTTGATTAGCAACACTCTTTTAGTGGCCCCCTACGACCCACGAGCTTGAGTTTGTCTGTACTTGGGGAGCGTAGTGTCCCTACAAGTTCCCCATCCGGCTAGATTTTAGGAGCCCTCTTTTTTGTCTTTTGTCGGGTGTCCTGGCCATGCTCGCCGGGTTATCGCCCAACGGGGAGAAATCTCTCGGGAATTCTATTAGAGTTTTGTCTCGAGGCGGGTGCTTGGCCGAAGGTATGGCAGAATTAGTGAAATTTAAAGTATCATAATATTGTGATGGCCCACCCACGTTCAGCCACCCAGTAACCAAACCCCCGCTTTGAAAACAAAACTATAGAAACACTGAATTAGCCAGTAAGGTACTATAGCACACCTGCCGCCGCATCCCCACCACCCATCCACCCAGCAAACCCACGGCTCCTAACAAAGACACTAACTAGACTCCAACCCCTTTGCTCGCCAATACTGCCAGCACTCAATTACCAAGCACCCACTCACACACCCGAATAGCAATCCCCTCACCCTTTCAACAGTGTATTCGGACACCCTGTCATCCCTCCTACCACTCCAGTCAGTACAGTACTCCGAAAAAGGTAGAGGGACAAAGTGAGCGCAAGCTTGGAAGGGGTTTGAGTGCGATTTCTAGTATTAATTGCGGGGAGGGAGAGATAGAGGGGAGATTCAGACAGGAACTGAAGAGAAGTTTTCTGATTTGTTTCTAGAAAAAAGTGCGGGAGTGAGTCGGGGAATCTGCAGAGTCTATGAGTCCAACGGAGGAAGGAAACTGCCGTAGGTGGAGAGCAACCTTATTCTTAATCAGGCTTGGCTGACAAAGAGACACTGCTGGGCAAGGCATCTGAGGGTTGGTCCAGTTACTCTATTACGTTACGGTGCGGGCGCGCTGGGAAGAAGTACCTCTGGGCCATAGGAAATTCTGTCTATCCATATATCAATTTCCTACTCCTCACGATCATGCTTTTTCCTTTGCTAAAATCGAATCATGATTAGTATGCCAGGCTATACCAAACTTACATCAGGAACATTAAGGTATCACACTTTACTCACTTTCCCCATAATTATTTCCTAGTCAATTGATCTTTCTTTCATGATCGGGTTTGTGGGAGGATCAATTTAATCGGGAGACATATCTGCCACAAACACCGGATATGGGACACCAAAAGTTGCTAACCGGAGTTGCCGCAAGATTCTGAAACTGTCGGTACTCCTGTATGTACTTGTCAATTCGTAAAGTGCTTGCATCAGGACATAAAGTGTTAAGAGCTAGTGTCATGGTACCCCGGGAATTGGGGATCTTGGTCTCCGCTCCCGGAAACGGTGCCGCTTGCGCAGGGCGGTTGATGGACGACGCGATGCAAGCGCCATTTGGACTTCTATGATAAATACTATCATAATATTATTATCATAAAATACAACCGCCATGAAATGCACTCAAGGGGGAAAATAAAGAACAAATTCCGCACACCAAGGGATCTGATATAGAAGGCAATGAGTTGCTCGAAATTTCCTCCATTAATTTTCTGGCTAGGGAAAGATATCTTGTGTCGGCACGGGCGCTTAGAGCTAACTGTTCCAGAGGCTATTCACTAGAGCAGAAAGCCAGCGCTAACTTACCAACCCTACCCCTGCTCTTCGGGCGTTTTCGCATGCCGCTTGCGGGCATTGTCCATTAACGAGCGGAACTGTCTTGGCACGGAAATGACTTTCCTCCGCCATGCACTTGCGAATCGACAACTCTGTGGATGATGATCTCCTTCTTCTGGTTCTTTGTTTTTGCATTCTCACGCTTTTTGTCGATTCTAGAGAGCTCACGTTTTCCGGCATTACGGGGCTTGAGGGATTATTCGAGCATCTTAATTTTTGACTGGTGACGTTGCTATCAAATACTACTTCTCGCTGGGCAGCGGTTGCGGTATCTACTTGATGGTGCACCATGTGTTTGTGTGTTGCCGGTTCTAGCGGAGTTTGGCCTACGGTAGTCGACTAGGCCTTCTCTTTGAACTCACAATAAGATCTACGCACTCACGGGTTCTGCGGTATGGAATATTGGCTCTGTTGAACTGCCGGGTTTATTTTGGAGGTTGTTTGGATACTGATGATGAACCCGGGGCTGAGCGCAGGTTTGTTCTTCTATCTCCGTATGAATTCGCAAGGGTTTATGATTTATGTTAAGGTGTGAATGGTAGCCAGCAATTGTTCAAAAGTTCGGGATTGACGCGGAAAGGATGAAAACGTCATAGTTCCCTTTCTGATGAAGAATTCCGTGTCCCGGGATAAAACGTGGCTAGTTCTTTGATATATAGCACTACCCGATTCAGATGGGAAGAGTACCTGCACGAAGTACGAGCTTGGTGAAAAAATTCGCTATCCCCCTTTGTTAGTAAATGTCCATAATGCAATACTAGAAATAATGGTAGTGGGCAGATGGTACTGTACATACAACTTTATATGAGGTTCTCATACAAAAGTACATCGCAACAGTATCTGATCCGAACCATAAGCTCTCGGCCATCATGGCAGAATGAGAAAATTCTTGTGATTTTTACCTGGGGAGTTTGGATGATTACCTACATTCTGACATTAATTTCGTTAATGCTATGTTGCTCCCAAATGAGTTGTGAGTGTTCGAAACCAGCCATTTTTGGTGTAAAATGGGGGGGGAGCAAATTCGGTCAACAAGATCGTATGATCGTACATTCAAAAAAAATCGAGTTTTTCGCTAGGCATAAAAATTTACTACCGCAGTAGGAGCCCCTCGCTAGAACTCCTATATGAAGCCCCCGTTGGGATCACTATTGAGAAACCAAGTCCCTTCTCAGGAAGTTGGCCGACTGGCATCCCCGGAGTTATGTGGGAATATGTACCTCAAGTTGTTTTCGCAACTGTATTGTACTCGAGCCGTGGTTGCTCATTCACGCCACCAGTTAGATTTCCGCTCACCCGTCAATTATTGGAGGAATTCTGGGGAAGAGGACTATTGGAGGAGAAACATAGGAAATACTTATAGTGGTAGGCCGAGGATAGGTGTGTGGGGAAGTGCTTGAATAAAATCCAGGAATAGCGGCTCTGATCCCGGCCCCGCACCCTGGATACGTAGGCGATGGGGTGAAGCGTGGTATACCTAGCGAGTCGAAGGAGAGCTACGGAATGAAGTCTGGAGAATGCTTCTCTAACACAGAAACCTTTTGCGGGCTGTTTTTGTCCTGCCAAAACCCGCACGGGAATCTGATTTCCAATACCTCCATCGCTGGGCAAACTCTTGAACAAACACCTCTGATACGCCGCCTCCGAAACTCAGTAAAAATAAAATAATTATAGGTTATAAAATGGCCAGGTAAAGGGAAATAGGGATTATCCAGATTTCTTACGACATCCCAAAAAATAATAGTATTTCTGGTGCAGCTTTTAACACTCTACAAGGACAGATTCTGTGTTTGGGGGCTCCGAGGTCGAAACAACATTCAGTGGTAAATTGCATCGTAAGCTCGACACTAGGCAATTTTGGTCTCATCGGGCGATTCCCCGTTGTCCTGGCAGTTCGGTTGGCTATCCTTAAGATTATATTCTAACTCGATTTTGGTCAACCCCGTCAATAGGGGGTGAGATATTACAATGCAAAGTATCCGCGACTGGGGTAGGGAAAACAAAGCGGGACCAGGAAGAGTTCTCTTTCAGGTTTCTCATACATCTGTGAGAGCGAAAGACGCAGTTAGAATGCTGTAGGGCCGCCCAGTCCATAAGTTATTATGATACCAGGTGGACCTGGGATGGCTATCTGACTTCTATCATAAGGCCTATCTAAAACGCGGCTTGCGATTGATTGGTGGTGGACTGAGGGTAACTTGTGTCAATTAGAATACCGGTAGGTCCACTATTACCATATCATGCCGACAGAGGACACTTGCGGTAGCATATCATGTGGGGTAAGAAAGAAAGGGAAACAATCCTCTATTTGTCGTTCCACACATGCACCCAAGCTTTCAAGAAGTTTACATGGACCAATAACCATGCTGGCCTTCTAGGCAACCCCAGGTTCTTGCAATACGTACGTAGTCCGAAGCGCTCCTGTGCCGCTGAATGTTGCCAGCCCGATAGTTCTATTAGCGACTAGCGCGGGAGATTTAATTTGGCAGTCCCAAGATGCAACGGCTTTATACGAGTACTGTACCGCCGAGACTAAAAAGCGGGAGGCCTAAAAGATCGGGACCTACCCGAGGGATAAGGAACCCCGCTAGCTGCCATCAGCTCCCACACGGGCTAATATCCACAACTTCTCTATAACCCACTTTTCATCTATCGTCGTTCGTGTTCCATAAAAGAAAGATAAACCAAAAAACAATGAACCTACCAATAACAGATCTCCAAACAATTAGGAGATACTCAATCCGAAGCCACAGGAGAGACTACCGCCAAACATTTACCTCTACCACTAGCCTCGAGGTCAAAGATGTTCAAGAAAAACCCGATGTCCTTAACTTGATGCTCAAGAGCGCTGCTACAGGGGAAGGTAGCTTGCGGGAAACCCCTCAAATATTGATGAGCTCCGGAGCGGCTAACAAACTAGTTAAGCCCCAGACTACCGCTCGCTCTTTCTCACACTCCTCGACTTACTAGCATCCTCTAGGGCTGCTCAGAAGCTGCGATACCCAGACACTTCGAATAAAAGCACCCAACAACGGATCTTACTATTTACCGAAGAATGGCCGAAACAGCTTGACATGAATAGAAATGTGTTGGGTCTTTGCAAAGACGTAGTAGTGAAAGCTCTTTCTCCAGATGCTGATGTCCCCGATGAAGATTTGTGGCGCTCCGTATACTCCCTATTGAGGACCTTGCACTTTTCGGTTTCGGATCTAAATATAATCGAGGAAAATCCTCTCCAAGATTTCTTGATTACCTATCGTCAACAATTCGGGACAAACTATCGTCAGTTCTACCTCAGAACTGCAGGGGGTGCTTCGGGGCTACAGGGGAGCTCGGAAACCTTGGACTTGCTTCTCAAGGAGGCTATCCAGGATAATCGTGAGTCGAAATTAATCCTCTCATATTCGAGATGTTCTATAATTGTTAATTATCATCCCATCGGGTTTAAGAATTCAACAACATGTTCTCCATATTCCTCCAACAAATAGCACTCACCCCGGCTAGCGCGGAGCTTCGGCACCCTATTGGAACTGATACGAGCGTTCGACAACGAATACTGCTCTTTGCTGAGGAATGGCCCCACCAGCTTGCCCCCAACAGTGATACACCCGATCTCTACAAGGACGCATTGCTTAAAGCCCTTACCCCAGGCCTAGACAAGGAATTCTGGTACTGCATGTACAAGCTATTGGATTCCTTTTACTTCTCGAAGATAGAGCTAGAGAAAATCGAGGGGAACCCCCTCCAGGACTTCCGCAGTAAATATCGCCTGTTCTTCCTTGAGAATACAGAGACTACAATTGACCGAGTGCTATGGGACTCCGAGGTCCTAAAGGAAATGCTCAAGAACGCTACTGTACATGAATGTAAGTCATAGTTGATACTTCCACTTTCCACTCACCCAATAGCCGCTAAAGGATCCACTGGCAAGCTTCGACTGGCCGCAAACTCTTTCGTGTCTTTCTCAGCCGGTTGGCAGCCACTGAAGCTAGCCAGGAGCTACGACATCCTCTGGGCTCAGGAACACGCGTTAAACAGCGGATTATGCTCCTTGCTAATGAATGGCCAAACCAGCTTGTTCTTAATAACAAGGCCCTGGATATTTGCGCCGATGTGCTGCTCAAAACTCTCATCCCCGAGACCGACGTCTCAGACAGGGAGCTCTGGTATTCCATCTACCATCTGCTAAACGCCTTGCACTTCTCAGAGCTAGACCTTCAAGTAATCCGGGAGACTCCCCTCCGGGTCTTCCGGCGTAGCTATCGTCTGTTCTTCGTCAAAAAATCCCGGTTTACGATGGACCAAGTTCTAGGAAGCCCAGCAACCCTGCGCTTTTTGCTCAGGGACTCCAGCTCACGAGCAACAGGTCCGGGCTCCCGCGAACTCCTCCATGTTTTCCTCTGCCAATTGGCCCTCACAGACGTCAGCGGGGAATTAAAACACCCAATCGCCTCCGACACAACTGTTGGAAAACGTATATTACTCTTTGCTGAGGCATTGCCGAAAACGCTTGCCCTCGGTGGGGACGTACTCCGCCATTGCGTTGATGTTATTACCAAGGCGCTATCACCTGATGATGAAGTCTCGGATACAGAATTTTGGTACTCAATGTATCACCTACTGAACGCGTTCCCAGCGGAAGAAAGTCCTAGAGCAAACCGGAACATCGCAACCATGGCTAAGGACTATGCAGTCAAGTATGCAAAGGAACATCCGTACCTGCTCGCTTTGAATGTTGGGCTTACGGTTGTGGGGTTCGCAATACCGCCACTCTTGGGGGCTTTGGGGTTTACGAGGGCCGGAGTTAGTGCTGGTTTGGTCCCCCGAGCTCCGTCCTTGACATTTGATGGGTGCAGGATTTTCTTATTCATTTCAATTTACTGACTTCCCGGCGGTGGGGGTGTAGGGAGCGTAGCAGCGGGATGGCAGTCTAGTATAGGACTTGTTCCGAAGGGAAGCTTGTTTTCTATTTGCCAAAGCATTGGCGTGGCGGGGTCTGCGCCCGTGATCACGGCGGCTGCGAATGTATCTTGTTGGGTTGTTAATAGGTTTGCGGAGTTTCAGGGCATGTTTAAGAAGGAGGAGGAAAAGGATGAGCCTGATAGCGACCCGAGAAATTAGATAGTTTGGGCGGGGGTACGGGCAAAGGTCAAGAAATACAAGTTACAGAGTAGTGGTCGCGCCCCTCCAAGTATAGCACCGCAATCCTCTCATGCCAAGGAAGGGATATTATTATTCATCTGGTAAATTCGATATCGCTTCCGCCTGGGAAAGCGCTATTCCTTTGCACTTCGTGAGATGGATTGACTCTTTATAGTGCGGGTAGCTGTGTGAAGAAATGACCAATATGCAAGGATCAGTAAGACTAGACCCGACATTACTCGTGATAATGAGGCCCACATCATCTACAGGTATGGTTCAACAGTATCCTTTCGCGGCCCATTCGCAGCCCACTACGAGTAATATAACTCGGCAAAACAACCGCTTGTCCTAATTGTGGAACCAGGTACAGTACACATGGTCTCCAATCAAAACTACCTGAGTATACCGACAGTCCCCAACAAGGCAGAACTCTTTCTTATGTGCACAGCGCTCGAGAAATATCCCATTCACTCATCAACCTTTGCCAGCACTGGGGCTATGGAAGCGGTGTTTTTGTTCTACCCCACCCGATGAGTAATCAAATTACTCCCTCCTTGCCGTAGTAGGATTAATGAGAGGAGCACGGCGGTTGTTGGCCCGTTTTTTGTTTTTCTGTCTATGCACTGCATCCTTATACTCGTACTATGGCCCAGACCCCTTTGTCCGTCCATCCCGACGTCATCCTGTTTGCTCCCGTTAGGTTTAGGAAGGAGCCGGAATAGGTCCGAATGATCATTTCACCGCCAAAGTGGTAAATGCATAGGAAACGCACATGATACAGACGGTATGTCAGGAAATCCAATGCCCTCTCCCCTTCGTAGCATCATACCGCGTAAGATATCATACCCAAACCATATCGGGGGACCTTCCGCGCTACAACACTGGTCGGCGGAGGGGTCTAGTCGGAAAGGTAAGGGATCGTCACGGATGTGAGAAATTTCGTTTCTAGATTCACCTTGGCATGGTTGTTGGGGCGGCGGGTATCGCTGTACTAGAGTGTGATAATCCGAGTTCACGCAGAACACGGGAGCATCACGAATTATCGCTCGGTCGATGTTCCAGTCGGTGCTCGTGTTCAGAGTTTTTAGTCAGGGTTCTCTGGGGTTGGTAGAGGTGAAGGTTCTGTCGAGTATTGTAATCCTTGTATGGTATGATATGAGAGAGCGTTCGTTATACAAGTATTTCTGTAGACTGAACAGAATCATAATTCCTATTAAATGTATCTAGAAAATGTTTCCACCTGTATCTCACCTAACTCAATGATCATTGATGTTTGGAAGTACTGTTAAAACATTGATCAACAATTTTTGATAGTATGATATTATGATAATATGTCCTATTTACTTTATTCTGCGGCTATTATAATGTAATTTTTCAATTTGTAGAGCAAGGTTATCTTAGTGTGACAAAATACGTATTTTAGAATATGATATAGTATTATATTGTATTATGTAGAATTGTATAAATACAATTGGCCACCCTGGGAGCAAGGGTGTTGAGCCGATTTTGGAAACTTATCTCTCGGGGAAATCTACCACTGCAAGGATGTACCAAAATATTATGATTGGTGGGAATCAATCATGACTAAGCAGGCGGCAAGAAAAGGGGTGTGGAGAGCTCAAACACCAAGGCTCAACCTCGCGAGCAGCAGCAATTCCACCCCAACACATTCTAAACACAGCCCTGACCCCATTATTATAAATCTTTCCACAGCTCTCCAAGGCTTCACTATTACGAGGGCAGAAGAGGCAGAACAAAAGCGGGATTTGAAGGGAAAAAAAATGCACTTCTCAGACGCAGATCTCCAGATAATCAAGCAGAACCCCCTGGATGATTTCCGTGGTACTTATCGTCAATTCTTCCTCGAGAAGACGGACCTTACCGTTGAAAAAGTCCAAGAAAAGCCGGAGATTTTGAAGCTAATCCTTCATGACGCGACTAAGGAAGAAAGTAGGTTATGGATACAATTTCTGGATCCCTCCGGACAAAATAGATTTTACCCGACAATTACTAACAAGGCCCCTTTCCCACTCCAGATGCCCGCGAGCTCTTCCATGTTTTCCTCCTCCAACTATCTCTCACCGATGCCAGCGGGGAACTGCGACACCCCAGTGGTTCCGACACAATCGCTCGAAAGCGAATACTACTGTTTGCAGGCGAATGGCCGAACCAGCTTGACCTTGACGGCGATGCACTGAGTCTTTGTTCGGATGGATTATTCAAAGCTCTTGTCCCAGAGACTGACGTTCCGGACCGGGACGTATGGTCATCCGTGTACAACCTTTTGACCACTTTTCCGGCGGTGGATTCCCCCGAGGCGAGAAAGAACGTTGCTGTCATGGCCAAAGATTACCTGACCAGATACGCCAAGGAGCACCCGTACTTACTCGCTTTGAATATCGGGTTATCGCTCGTGGGGTTTGCGATACCACCGCTCTTGGGGGCTTTGGGATTTACTAGCGCTGGGGTTGGTGCCGGTCTGTGTGCCCTGGGTTTGATCCTGAGGTATGAACTTTATTTTTTTTATCTTGTTTACTAACCTTTATAGGGAATGTAGGTAGTGCTGCAGCGGCATGGCAGTCCGGTTTTATGGGAGCCGTTCCGAAGGGAAGCTTGTTCGCCGCTTGTCAGAGCATCGCAGCGACGGGGTCTGCACCTTTATTCTCGGCAGCTGGGTGGGTCACTAGCTCGACTATTACCGGGGCCACGGTGCTATGGGATGGCATGAAGGGGAATAAAAAAGATACAAAGGGTAAACCTGGAGGTGAGCAGGAAGAGAAATTGTAATGGGTTTTGTTTTTAAGCCCGCTCCCCATCCGCTGCTTCTGGTTGGACTGCCGGGCGCACTTTATGTAACTAGGACTACTGCGTTGGCCGGGTTTCTTTATGAAGGGCATCTTGAGATGACTTCAATCATTTTCTGATTTAGTGTTAGCAATAAAATAAGAACACTCAGTGCTTCCGTTGGGCGCTCTTCTACCCCACATTAAAGTGCCGCCTCATCACGCTAGCGATGCCATCTCAGCCATTACAGGCCCTCGGCATTTCTTCTGTTAAATCCGTGGTTTGATTTCGGTAAATCTGCTAGGGCCCTGGGATTCCCCTGCTCTGCTAGGCAAGTGGAAAACATAGCAAAAATAGCTCTTGGAAGATAGAAAGCAAAAGGAACATGTGCACCGCTTTACTAAGAGAGACGGCAACGGCGTAGTAGCAAATTTAGTTCTATTCAAGTTTCTCCGGCACATGATGGGCGCTCCCTGGGGTACAGTACAGCTGTCGCAGGGAGAAGGATCCCATGGCTGATAAATACCCAAAAACAAAACAATGAAAATAAGTAGATCAACACCAAAATGAGCCTATTTCCCGATCGGGGGTTCCATGTATATCTAACCTGAAATGAAACGGGAACGTTAGTTGTATCGTGCTCAATTGCATACGATATCTAGTGGGTCTTGTGCCTCCGGCTGACAGACCCCGGAGCAGAATGGTGCCAGTGCGTTCGTGGGCAGCGGGGTGCCCATCATGGCGTTTTATCATACGAGGGATATCATCCAAGCCCACCTATGGGGTCCCGGGCTCAGTTTACCGGGTAGGATCGTGAGACTTTTGTGTCAAAGATGTTGAACTCCATTCTCACCTTCCAGAACGGGGAGGGCGGGAAGCAGGGTCCGGAAGGCCGGAGAAAAGGAACTTTCTGCTGGCCGTGGGTAGTACTTTGTTAAAGTATAGAAAGAGGATGACTCCCCAGTGAGGGTAAGTGATATACTGCTTACCTGAGACCACTCGTGAATTGGGCTGGTCATGTTGATGACAGAAGTGAGGGACGAGAATGATCGGATGAAGGATCGGTTGGAAGAGATCGAGGAGAAGGGCTGTGGGAGATGTCAGGAGAAGATACCCCTGCGGAAAATCGCAAGACCGGCAATTATGGGACCGGCAGCGGTGAAACAGGCGATTCCGGTACCGACGGCGGCGAAACCAGAATTGGCAAAACAGGAATTACCAAGGAAGTTACCCGAAGTAATTCCGTCGTACAAAAAGAAAACGGAAGAGAGGTTGTCGTTTGCGACAGTGGCAGGGAGGCCGGTGACAAAACCGGGAGCGAGTAAACTGGGAGATGGATTCACCAGTGTGGAGAGGAAGACATGGAAAGGGACCCTGAAGTCAGGTCCGAATGCCACGATACCGGAGAGGGAGAAGAGGGTCAAATTATTGGCTCTGAGAAAAAGGGATGAGAAATATAGGTTGCCCCAAGGGCTAACAAAGGAAAGGATACGACATGGCATTAACAGAACCCTGTCGGACCTGAACGCGGCAACCCTTTTCTGCGCCAAGGCGGTCGATACAAGGTACGGGGATATCAACCTAACATTGGCGAATGCTAGAGCCAAGGAGATGGTCCGCTATTTCCCTGCCCTGAGGGAAAGATTGAACAAACTTGGGTTGAAAGGATGGGACCTGAGGTTGGACATTCCCAAGGTGAAAATAATAGCACTGAGAGTGCCATTTGAGGACGAGTTTGGGAAAGGTGGAATGGAGATAGTGGCTGGGGATTTGGAAAGGAGCAATGAAGGGATAACCATTGCAGCCAGACCTTCTTGGGCGGAAAGGGTGAAGGCAATGAAGTCGAAGGGGATTAAGACTGGGGGATTGGTTATGATCTTGGAGAAATCCGATGAGTTGGAAAGGATACTGAGTTCAGGCCGTCCCCGATTGGTGGTGAAAGGGGAACCGAGAGACATCAGAATTTTCAAAGAGAGGGAAACACCGAGTCTATGCAACACATGCTTGACGGTGAGATACCAGGAAACATTCTGCAAGGCCCCCAAGAGGTGCCGGTGGTGCCATGGGGACCATATATCAGTAGTACATAAATGCCGGGTGGTTGCATGCGCGGCAGTAAACAAGGCTTGTCAACACACAAGGAGGGAGTATTACCTGTGTGGAGACAAAGGACATTTCACTGGACATCCGGAATGTGTTGGACTAAGAAAAATGTCCACACAAGCACCAGCTGGACCGTCCTCTGGAGTGGTGGCAGACGAAACATTGGTAACAGGAATCGCGGATAAGTTGAGAAACTGACTTAAGAATGGGAGAAATAGAGTGAGAGAAATACCAGTGGCGGACGTGGTGTTGGAGGCGAAGGCCAGGGGCGAAGAGGCGGTGTTAATTAAGAAGGGGAAAGATGTGGTGACTTTGGATGACGCCACCAAACTGTTGGAAGAGGAGGAGGGAAAAAAGAAGGAAGTTAAGGTGATTAGGGATGAGTGTAAGAGAAAGGTTTATTGCTTTACTTGTGGGAAGGAGGGACACACAAAGACAAATTGCAAGGGGAAGGATAGGGATACAAGTGGTATGGGTTTTTCACTTGAATTAATATGAGGGTAAAAATTTGTACAGTGAACGTGGGGGCATCGCTTGGGAATAGAACGATGGTGATGGATTTGTAGAGTTATGTGGATGTGTTTATGTTTGTGGATCCACCGGTGGAAGGGAATAGTGAGAGAATTATGGTGGAAGGGACAGTATATAGTTTGTTTTCTTTTATTAAATGGAGTGGGGTGGAGGTGTATATAAGAGCGGAGTTGGTGGGATGTTTTGAGTTGGAAGGATATGAGGAAGGGTGAGTGTTGTTGGGATACATCGATGAGAAAAGCAGAAAGATGACAAGATTGGAAGGGGTCTATTTGAGATCCAATAGGAAGAAAGAAGAGGTACTGGAACTGTTAAGAGGACTGGAAAGAGCAAATGCAATAGGAGGGGACTGGAATGCCAGGAACCCGAGGTGAGGAACGTAACGTGTTCGCAAAGTGCTAATCACGTTATCGGTAATAGATACGATAGTTGGCAGGTGGCCTGCTCTTCCGGATAGGAGGCGAGAGCTGAGAACTAAAGGAGGCTTCAAGGGTGTACTGAGGAACAAAGAAGTAACCGTTCAACCAAGTATATTAAAATACTATCTGTCAAAGTCTGCCTTTTCTATCGTAGAAATAGGCGGTCTTTAAATACACAAATCTGTTCATGTCTAGCATGAACGAAACTAATCAAAGGTATCAATCGATACACTTTGGTGAAACAACTTAAGTATCAAAGTGATACTTCAAGCAAAATATAAAACAAAACCAAGTATCAAAGCGATACTTCAAACAAAACATAAAACAAAACCAAGTATCAAAGCGATACTTTAAACAAACAAAACATAAAACAAAACCAAGTATCAAAGCGATACTTCAAACAAAACATAAAACAAAACTAACTATCAAACGATACTTAAAACAAACCAAGTATCAAAGTGATACTTAAAACAAAACATAAAACAAAACCAATAACCGAGTACCCATACCGGTTACAGGGAACATGTTCCAGGGACAAAAGGTGCAACAGTTATGGGAGGTATGTGGGACAGTGGACTGAGGAAAATGTTAACAAGATGTGGGAACCGGTGAGGAAAACTTTCCGAAATACGTCAACCATAGATACAGTTGCATACCGAAGAGAAGGAATGAAAATTCGTCAGGATGGAAAGGCATGGTTGGAACATGATGCACTAATTATAAGTGCGGAAGTGAGAACACTGGAGGACATGGAGGAAGCAGGGATATCATAGAAAAGGATGGATTGGAAGAAATTTGGAGAACAGATGGATGAGATAATGGAGAAGGAGGTGGAAGAATGGTGGGGGATGATGAGAACACTGATGAGTGAATAAAAGAGACAGAGAAGGGGGAAGAGGAGATGTGAATGGTATACAGAGGACCTGGCACAGATGGCAAAAGATGTGAGAAACCTAAGGAGAAGAAAGGAAAAAAGGAAAGAGGAATAGAACCTCATGAGGAAGATATAGCGTATGGAATTACTGAAAGGATAATACGGAAATCTGAAGAAAAAAGTTGCTGCGGTCAAAGACCCAAGGATATTCGACACCGTACGAGCAATTGAGGACAGACAAGTAATACCGGCAATGTACAATGTGAAGGGAAACAGGTTCGACAATCATGGAGACATCAGCAACATGATTGCAGAACAACTAAAGCCAGGTCCCTAGAGAAAGTTCACGAGGAAGAAGGTGGAATGGGAAACAGATGAGAAAGAGCTAGGAAAAGACCTGAAATGTTCGCCATTGAATACAGCTCCTGATATTTGTTTGATGAGTTACCCCATGCTGAGATTCTGGTTCAGAAGAAACTGGCAGGGCATTGTAGAAATGATGAATTACCTATTGAAGTAGGGTTGTAAAGACTGGAACATGGCGGAAACAATGCTTATTCCCAAGGCTGGCAAGGACAACTACCAAGTGGTTAAATCCTAGTGGATAATAGACCTGTTACTGGTGATGGCCAAGGTGGCGGAGCGTATTGTACTTGAAAGACTGGAAAGTACACTACAACTAGAGGAAACACAGTATGGATCGAGAAAGAGACGGTCATGTCACAAGGCAACGGCCGAGATTTGTGAATTCCTGGACCACCACAAGGGGATGGATTGTACAGTATTGTCGATGGACGTCGAGGGGGGGTTCGATGTAACCGGTATGGGTACTCGGTTATTGGTTTTGTTTTATGTTTTGTTTTAAGTATCGCTTTGATACTTGGTTTGTTTTAAGTATCGTTTGATACTTGGTTTGTTTTAAGTATCGTTTGATACTTGGTTTTGTTTTATGTTTTGTTTTAAGTATCGCTTTGATACTTGGTTTGTTTTAAGTATCGTTTGATACTTGGTTTGTTTTAAGTATCGTTTGATACTTGGTTTTGTTTTATGTTTTGTTTTAAGTATCGCTTTGATACTTAAAGAGTTTTACCAAAGTGTATCGATTGATACCTTTGATTAGTTTCGTTCATGCTAGACATGAACAGATTTGTGTATTTAAAGACCGCCTGTTTCTACGATAGAAAAGGCAGACTTCGACAGACAGTATTTCAATATACTTGGTTGAACGGTTACTTCTTTGTTCCTCA